ACCTCTTTTCATGCCTGAACTCGTTGATCCCACTCGTTGATCTCAGCTCATTTACGTAGCTCAAGCCTGGAAAAGTACGGGCAGCCTTTTCGAGCGGAGCATCCCTGCCCTCCCAGGTGCTCCCGGGCGTTCGACGTTTTAACCGCGTGCATCGCGTTCTTCACGAAAGGATAAGTCCATCTCTCATTGCCTAGTCCCTACGCCTCATTATTCTGTGCGGGTTACGCGTTTCGAGTCACGTGGTCCTAGCGACTCTCCCGGCCGTTCGCCTCGGATACGTCATCGAAATGCATTGACCGAGAAGGCCTGGGAAAACGCTGTATAGGGACAAGGCAACGTCTCTCATAGAAGGCCTGGGTCATAGTGTCTTAGATTTTCTTTGTAAAAAAGTAATCACTGTGAGGAATAGAGACATTTACGCAGATCTCAAGTGCCCGGGCACCACCAGACAATCACAGTGTTGCTGCTCGCCAATTCTCGCGGCAAAAAGAAAGCCAAACTAAGGGTAACAAAGGCAGAGTCAAAAAATTTACTCTAACCTATCCACAGACGTTTTTCTTCGTTTGCGCGCGAGGGCGGAGCGTGATACGCGCGCTTAATAGGCCTCACTATTTGGACTAAATATGTACCTGGTACTTGGTAAAGCCGGGTAAATAAAGCGCACCCAGAGTCAATCCCTCGCTATTCATTCCATCAAAGGCAACATCCCAATTGTAACCATTGAGGTAGATGACGGTGTTTCTATTTGTCCAGTTTTGAAGTGGTGCACCAGCATGATCAGTATTAGTGCAGTAAACGGATAGATGGACCTCGTGAAGACCATTCCATGCTCCTGACGATGACTACAGTACTTTCGTCCTCTGTAGTTACTCGGATCTCCGTACAGGCTTTCGCGGTAAGAAACAGATGGAACAGTAACTGACTGTACGATAATTAACGTCACATCGTGTTGACTAGCTGATGACAATCTGAAAGTACCAGAATTCCGCTGCATTCAACATTTAAGGATAATAATATAACTCGTACCTAAATGCGTGAACCAAAACTAATTCAGTTTTTTTTTCACAAGTCGATATCAGGGAATTATATCCTTAAATAATAAATTTCTGAAACAGGCTAATTTGGGAGAAGTTACAAGACATTTTGGGATTTCATCCGTACCGTTGTTGTCTGTGAATCCATTATTATGTTGTCAACTGAGTACCGGGGATACTCCTTATAATGGCCTCTACCGGGGGAGGGGGGGTATTTATTTAATACAGGGAGGCTCCGACCGAAAGGGATACCTTATTCAGGTTTCAGGTTAGCGATTGCACTAGTTGAAGTATACAAAAGGAGGGTAGGGAAATTAGTCTTATCAGTCTGTATAAAAGCCGGGCTAACAGATGTATTTTATGGCTATGAAAAAGTCAAGAAAACTTGGTGATTTAGTGAATTTTTTATATTTTTTTAACGGACAGTGCATTTAGAATAGCTAAAAGAAAGTAGTGTTTTAAACTAGGTATATGAAAGGTGTACAATTCGTCAGTAGCAAGTATTCGAAAGGGGTACCGTAAAACTGAATGGCATATAAACGAGAAACGGGTTGGCCTCTCGGGTTGGAGCATCCCTGTGTAAAATTTTGTAGCAGTAAAAAAGAGAAATTTGTCAGTTTTTAAACATCGGTAACTGAAAATTTGAAAATCGAACCCTTTTGCCCTTGGTTCAGAGGTGTGAACAGGCACCCAGAGTGCTTGTTATGGTGCCTTTACAAACGCGGAAATAGCCGGAGAGAAATGAATGTTGTAAATACACCGAACTCAGTTCTAGTGTTAAGTGTGAGAACTTGCCCAAATAATGTGATCTAAAATAAGAGTGGACAGCAAGACCTGTGCAGCTCGCTCCCGACGCTGGGTGACTATGAATACTCCTTATATAAAGGAAACACAACAGTCTAATATTAGTGAACTTGCATGCCCTAGCTGGTAGCTGGTTGGAGAGAGATTCGGCCTGAGAGTATCCCTCATGTACTAGATATTACTTTACTTAAGGTTCACGTATTACAAGGTACATTTTTAACTTTTAAACGTTTAGTTTTTGCTTCACAAGTGTTTCCGTTACATGTTAAACCCCGTTACAATTGTGATTCAACAAAATTAACCGTGACTGTAATCTCTTGAATTAATGTTACTAATACCCAAGCTTACTACGAGAGTATGTCGCAACACCATCATCACTAACAAAGAGAAATTTGTCAGTTTTTGAACATCTGTAACTAAAAATTTGAAAATCGAACTCTTTTGCCCTTGGTTGGAGGTGTGATAGGCCCCCAGAGTGCTTGTTATGGAGCCTTAACAAACGTGGAAATGTTCGGAGAGAAATGAAAGTTGGTTAAATAAACCGAACTTCTAGCGTTAAGTGTGAGAATTTACCCCAATAATGTGATCTAAAATCAGAGAGTGGACAGCACGACCTGTTCAGCTCGCTTGCGGACTTGACTATGAAAACACGGCGGCTTAGTTCGTCTTAAAGTTCGAATCAATTTAGTGGAAGAATAGAATCACAATACGTGCTTATATAAAGGATCGAAACACAATAACCTAATATTAGTGAACATGCCCTAGCTGGTAGCTGGTTGGGGAGAGATTCGGGCTCAGAGTATCCCTCATTTACTAGATATTACTTTACTTAAGGTATCACGTATTACAAGGTACATGTTAAACTTTTAAACGTTTAGTTTTTCCTTTACAAGTGTCCGTTACATGTTAAACCCCGTTACAATTGTGATTCAACAAAATTAACCGTGACCGTAATCTCTTGAATAAATGCCATTAATACCCAAGCTCACTTCGAGAGTTTGGCGCACTACCATCATCAGTAACAAAGAGAAATTTGTCAGTTTTTGAACATTTGTAACTGAAAATTTGCAAATCGAACCTCTTTTGCCCTTGGTTGGAGGTCTGATAGTTCCCCAAAGTGCTTGTTATGTTGTCTTAACAAATGCGGAAATGATCGGAGAGAAATGAATGTTGTAAAAAAACAGAATTCAGTTCTAGTGTTAAGTGCACCCCCCCCGTTTATGTCAGGGTCTGGATGACCGCCCCCCACGTCATCTGAAGGTCTGGATCCGCTACTGTACAGTATCTAAAAAGAGGCAAACCAGTTTTTGAGACTCCTGTATGATCGTTTTTAGGTATGCTATTGTAATAAAACTAATTGCCATGATATTTGCGCTTAAAACAATGAAAAGATTATCTCAACCGTTAAAGGACCTTGCCTTAACCGACCAGACTGATTTTTCCAGATTTCTGTGGTCTGCGAGTTTAGTCAGCCGAGTGGAGGTTTGACGAGGGCTGTCTAATACTCAACACCACTTGTAGTGGCGGAACGAGGGGAGGGGCCCCCCTTATTTTTAGACCAAAGTGAGGCTCGAAGCGACCCAAATTTTTTTTTGAGACCAACTCCCCTTATTTTAGGGTCTGGATGACCGCCCCTCCCCCCCTTATCTAAAGATCTGGATCCGCCAGTGACTTGTACCTCTTGCAATCATACTTTTACGACTTAAACAAGCTCCGAAACATGTGGTCAGTATTGGACACAAGAAGCGGGTTCAGCAGGATAGGAAGGAGCAAAAGAACCGAGAGGGGAACTGGAGATGATAGTCCTACCCACCGTCATCCCATTGTTTAGGGGTACCCTGTACCCACATTGCTAATGATGATGGGTATCCCCGGTAAAGAATACCAAAAATGCTGGCCCTGCTCATGAAAACGGGACTGGCGATAACAAGATTTTAAAAAGATGAAACTTTTAAACTTGTAATCAGCTGATGTGAAGGAAGTTGACCATGATCTCGCGTACTTAGAAGAGAAGAAGAGAAGGATTTAGAGAGGATTTATTGTTATTAAGTTATTTTGCTTTCGCTGATAAAAATGTGTAAAGCCAATGCAGAAATCCTTGATTCTTTAGTCTTAGTATCTCCAACCATTTAAAACCTGTTAATATCTATTGAGCGTAAACTTATTTGTCAAGTCATAACTGTATTTAGCCTTCAAGCTGTATAATTAACCTGTAAGAAGCATTTATCCACCGGTGTAGTTTTTGGAAGTAATTTATGTTTCAAAACAACCTTAGGTTTCCACCAATAGTCTTGTGTTCGGTAATTTGACTCGTTGAGTTATTATGTAATCTGTATCGCTTCGCTAGCTCAGGCTTAAAAACGAGTGCTTTGTAGGAGTTTCTTTGGTTACATCTTAGTCTTGGTTATCTCTTGGTTGGTTATGTTTTGACTGTATCCACTACTCGGGTAGGAGTAGAATCCTGGGAACGAGGTTTATATCAAGCCGTTTTGAAACCGCAATCCATACTCGACAATAAGTTGTAAATCGATGATCTATTTAATTCATCTTTCTATCTCTTGTTGAAAATTGGAATATACATTTATGGTCCTGACAGAAAAACCGCCGGGATCGAGTATCCTTATGCAATAGAAGTTTTTGTAAAAACCCAATTGCCTCTGGAACTCTTGAGGCTGTTTCTACCCACAAGCTGTCCAAAAAAAGCAAAATATGTCTCAAACAGGAAAAAAACTTAAAAGACTAGCAATACGTTTCCCTCTGTCACCTGATTCTTAATTAAAGCTTTCGAAGTTCGGTTAGGGGCAGGAGGGAAAATTACTCAGCTTCATTTCGATGAGGTGGAGAAGGTTTCCACGAAAACCCGGGGCATAATAAAAACATTTTAAGGAAGTACGGATGGGCCATGCATGGGCAAGAGTTTCATTCTGGTTAACGTAACGTTTTTTTATAGTTTGTTTGCGTTCTTCTCTGGCCTGTTGAATGACTGTTTGGTAGAACTTTTTCTTCCAGCTCCGCCCACCTTACAACTGATGACATCAGGGACGTGGATCTTCACGGAGGGTTACAGGCCTTTCAAGTGTGAATCATTTACAAAAACGTTAAGATTCGTGATTTGCTGTCTTTTAGCTTTATTTGGCATTTATATTTATATTTTTGTTGCTACAGACAACTCGCGCCTCCAACCTCGTCCCAAGGACGCTTTCCTCTGGCTTTGGAGCTAGGGAAAAGCGCCCTAGGGACGAGGTTGCTCTGGCCTCGTTTGACCGCATTGAATGTTGGGGTACCCAAGTGCGTGACCAAACAGAGATCGCGTGATACTGCCCGCAGTACAGTATGGGTAATAGTTTTCCAAATATGTCGGTTACTGAACTGTGAAGAGCGTCTTCCGCTTTTAGTTTTTGATTCGGTTTTCTGAGGTGTGTCGAGTACAGAAGTAGTGTTGTTCCCTGTTAATAGTTCTACAGGAAAAAAATTACGTCTTTTATCCGTTGGTGTTACCTTTGTAATCTCAAGTTCACGATATGAACGAACGAAAACTCTTGGTAAGTTTGTAATCCTTACAAATGAGGTACATAAACGAAGGAATGAAAATCAAATTCCATTACAAAATATGTAGAAAGAAGCTGTTGGGTGTCACTTTTGATGAACGTCTGAAGTTTACTAGCCACTTGAAGGAGCTATCTAAAAGAGTATCTAGGAAAATAGGGGTAATGATGAGACTGAAAAATGTAATACCAACATTAGCAAAGGTTAGAATTTACAAATCTTTGATTTTGCCACAAATAACTTATTGTTAGACTGTATGGCACTTTTGTAGAAAATCTGATAACCGGAAGATTGAGAGTCTCCAAGAAAGAGCGCTTAGATCAGTCGTAGGCTTTCCGAGTTTGTTTATTTTAGTTGTTTGATTTTCGTTTTTAGGTAGTTAGGTGTCCACAATTAGTGGACACCTAAGCTAGGCATTTGACACATTAATTAAGTCTATTTATTAGTAGTAGTATACTGCAGACAGTCTGCTTGAAATGCTGCTTGCCATGGGCATTTATAGAAAGTGTGGTGTTTTTGAACAAATTATGCGTATGCGTAAGTCTGTGATAAAAGTGCTAAATGTGAGATCATGACTATGAGTAGGTTTTTTATGTAATTAATACTTGGAACGAATCTATTTGTATTCACAAAGCATGAAATTTGCATGTAAACTGCCACTAGTTTCTCTTTAATTATCCTTTAGTCAGAGGGTGGATTCTTTTGGAAGACACTCGCATACATGTAGCTGTCTCATATGGCCTCTGATAAATTTCATCCAAAAGGAAAGTTTAATCCAAGTGACCATGGGCACTGACTCATGATTATTACATCTATTAGCATAATGTATGTTCTTACTTGTAAGTGCCAGAGTGTGGGTCACAAAAGTGTGGAAGAAGTGTTAAAGTGTGGAAGTTTGGTAGTATTACACAGGGTTGTCAAAAGTAGCCGGCTGCCTGCGAAAATCGCCACCTATTTGGTTAGTATCAGCCAGCTACTTTGCTTGGTAGTTCTTTACATATGGCGTTTTTTAAATAAGATATCCCTGGACTGGCTGCTTACTTTGACAACTCAACCTTCTACTTCAAAACTTTCTGACAATCCTGTGGTAATATCAAGTTAGGAATTTTGGTGCCAGGAACAAATGGCATTCGAATGACTCTGAACTTTAGTGATTAGGGTAAGGAACCTGAGTGAATCAATTTTCAGGTAAGTTTGCTCAGCATATAATGACCTTAAACAGAACCTGATTCACTCAATTGTGGTTTCGGATAGACATATTGTCATATCCAAGAAGACTCAGTGCAGGAAACACTACAAGCTTTTATTTCAGCGAGCAATCCCTGTAGAGCATGCTAGTCTGCACGCGCACATGTAAGAGACTGCATGCAAACTGTGACACTATATAATCACTATAAACTTCAGAGTCATTTGCCATTCAGCAGCCATTTGGTGTTGTGAAAAGAACCCTGGCCTAGCTGGAATTTTGGAAGTTAGGTAGTATAGAAGTTTTGAAAATGTTTACCATAATATATTGTTCTCTGTTGTTATCTATCATTTTGTAGATGTTTGGCAACTTTGATATTTGGTAACGGCATCTTCTGTAGAAAGAGTTTAAACAGCCATGAGTGATGACCGAGTGTGCGGCTCTCACAAAGTGAAAGTCACCTTATTGGCTTCTGAATGGGGATCAAGCAAAGGCGGGCTTTCTACCATAAACAGAGAATTAGCCATTCAGTTAGCCAAATGCCCTGAAGTGGAAATCACTTTCTTTTTACCACAATGCAGTCAAGAGGACAGGAAGGTTGCCTTACAAAACAACGTGAAGATTGTGGAGGCAACACCACTACTTGGCTATGAACAATTGGAGTGGCTTAGCTTCCCTCCAGATCATCTCCAAATTGATATTATTGTGGGTCATGGTGTTAAACTTGGTAAACAAGTACAAATCATAAAAAAATCTAAAAAGTGCAAATGGCTTCAAGTGGTGCACACAGACCCTGAAGAACTTGGGATGTTTAAAAACTATTCCAACCCAATCTCAAAGGGCGAAGAAAAGTTCAAGACTGAAGTAGAACTGTGTAAATTGGCAGATCATGTTGTAGGAGTTGGACCCAAGTTGAGTGAGGCTTTCCGCTCATATCTACGTAGCTGTAGAAAAGATGACACTGTTCTTGACTTCACTCCTGGAACATTTGAAGAGTTTGCAGCTGTAAAGCAGGCTCCTAGTGAAAGGCAACAACGCAGTGTCTTGGTTTTTGGTCGGGGTGATGTAGAAGATTTTGAATTAAAAGGGTTTGACATAGCTGGGAAAGCGATTGCTGCATTAGAAGATACTCGTCTTGTGTTTGTTGGAGCCCCATATGGAAAACATGAAGAAATAGCAAAACGGTTGATTGAATGTGGTGTTCCTGAAAGGCGCTTGAGAGTAAGAGGATTTGTTAAAGAGCGAGAGAGTTTGAAGGACTTGTTTCAAGAGGTCGATCTTGTAATCATGCCTTCAAGAACAGAAGGCTTTGGATTAACAGGACTTGAGGCCCTGTCAGCTGGTCTCCCTGTGCTTGTCAGCAGCAACTCTGGTTTTGGAGAAGCTTTGTGTAGTGTACCTTTTGGTTCAAAAAATGTTGTTAACTCAGATAAACCCACAGATTGGACCTCAGCTATTAAGAAAATTTGGGCCAAGGACAGAAAAAGTCGACTGGAGGAAGCAAAAATGTTGCGTGATTCCTTTGACAAAAAGTACAACTGGGCCAGACAGATAAAAGATCTTATTGAGAAGATGATCAGTTGGGTTCACGGTATGAACTTCAATTTGATTGACATGTGCATTTCATCATGTATTTATATTGCACATTAAGTTGCACAATATCGAGTACTGAAAATCAATATCATTATTTATTAATAACATTGTTAATTTTTCTTTTTTGCTTGAAAATACTTTTCACATTAGAGAGCTTAAGCATCAGTGTTTTTGAGCTACATATGATAACCAGAAGTGGACTTTATGCAATCTTTGGTAGTGGTTTTGCGCTAATGTTCAGGCAATAGTCTCTAGAAAAATGTGAATATAAGAAAATAGACCTAACAATAAAATTTGGTAGCATCATGGTATAGTACATGAGAAGGAAGGCTGGTTGCCATCACAAACACCTTTCCTTGAGCTCCCTATTACAGAGGAAATAATAGGATGTCAACTCTAAAAAGATGTGAAAACAAACAAACAAAACAGAACCAAGAAGCAACCGTTGAGATTTTTTGTTCTAATTAAATATCATGAAAAAAAAATTAAAATAAAAGGTGGCTAGTACTATATGTATGTACCATAGAACTAAATGTGATAAGAAACTTTATTTCCCAGATATCTGAAATAGTGCGATTATGTATCACTGACAGGCAGACAATTTTCTATTCTTAAAAGAAACTTATAAGTTTGGTAATCATGGCCCAGCTAATCTTTTGTATGCTTTATCCCCAGCTCACTGGTGTGATTATTTCATACATATTAATTTGCCAGTTACCAAAAGCAGCCAATTTATTGTTATCTTCTCCTTTATTTAAACAGATGATTCTTCAAATCATCAGAGGTATTCAGAAACCAAATGCAGTAAATTTTCTCAGTGTATGGAGGGCACTACTGAAGACATTGAAGGTAGCCTTAAAATATTTATTATTGCAATACTTATCTTGATTGGCTGAATGATGTTTCTTTTGATCTTGAAAAAGTGTTCTATGGGGGAATAGCTGGGGCCACTCAAGTTAAGCCTTCGAATGTTGAAGTTTGGTTGCCGTGGACATAATTTTACAGGGCTTGAAAAAAACTTGAATTCAAGCTTGTCCTTTAGTAGGGGGGTGAATAGGCAAACAGATCGGTGGATTTTAAAAATAATTTTGCCTGGATTTTGGATTCAAAGCAAGATTTTAACGGATTTCCGGATCCTGCAATTGCAGCGGATTGTGGATTCATCTATTTTTGGGCCCCGATTTTGGACTTTGCATGTAATTCAAATATTTTTGCCCGTATTTCAGATTCAGGGTGAAAATGGAAGGGCGGATTTGGTTAATAAATCTTAATGGATCGGCAGATTTGTATTCCCCTATTACCCCCCCCTCCTTCTTTGGGCAAGCAGTTCTTATACCTTTTGCTTGACCCATTTACACCAAGACTTAAACTTGTTTTAAAGCTGTTTATAAGTTGAACATGGTTTAAATTTGTTTTGTTTGTACACTGTAGAAGCTGCGTACTCTACTTTATTGATTGCTGCAACAAATGTTCAATTTCATCTGAATTATCTATAAAAGCCTGCTATGTTCTAGTTTTTTGGTACTGTTACCCGTTTTTAAACCATGTCAAGAGTTTGTGTGAATGGGGCTTTAGTCAATGATTTGGATAGAAGATGTCTACTTGGACCTTTGCTCATTGGGCAAAAAAGTGAGCTTTGAAAGTTGGTTGTCCAGCAGGAAAATTTACCTGTCATGAACTACTGAACGGGACTTTTTTTTAGCCCGGGATAATCATAGATGTCAATTGGCGACAAAATTGTAGAGACATTGTACTCAAAAAGGGCAACTTAAGAGCAAAACAATTCACACCCCTCCCACTCCTCCACCCCCTCCATTCAAAGTTGGGGTGTTTAGCATTTTCTACAGGTAGCTCAAATAGCACTATAACACTGCATAGAGGGGATGGGAGGGGGAAAGCTTTATTTTCCCCTTTTGAAGTCGGTAAAATGTCAGAAAGGCCCTTTAGGGCACAGTGTCTCCACTAATTTTGTAGGTATGTGTTAACGGGATTCATATGGTTTACTGCCAATATTTTGTACTGCACATTGTCTGTTTGTATTTTACTGAGGTTTACTAGTGTTGTCTTACAGCTGTACATCTGATAAGACCTTTTGCAATTAAACATGTTTACATTATCCAAATGAAACAAAACTGCCTGGTGACATCTGCTATTTGGAGAATATAATATTTGCGGAGCTGGACAAACCTTAGAGGTACACTATCGAAGATGAACTTAACATCGATACAGGTAAGCATGTTTTAGTTAAGTTTTTAAACTAAGAATTATTTTGAATGAATAATAAAACAATTAATGAATTCGGCTTTCGTAGGATATGAAGAATTAAGCAGATCTCGGAGGGTGTTATCCACCTTGGCCTTCGGCTTCGGTGGATAAACACCCTCTCCTCGATCTGCTTAATTATTCTTCATATCCTACTCTGTGAGCCTCATTCATAGCCTGTTCCAGGCTCCGAGATAGTGGTGAAAAGTCGTTCAGTAAAAAGAAATGCGAAAAACGCACGGGGCTGGGGAGAGACAGAACGGCGGAGCCTGTACGCATTTTTTTAACGGCCTGTTCCAGTATATCAGCTCCTGATTATACCCTCTGATTGGTCAATTGTGACAGTTAACATCATCACTTAAGTATTGTGGTCATCAGTTTGTCATCACCAAGATGGCCAATGCGAATTGTGCGTGTGCAGATCTTGATGAATCTGCGTTGTCTCGTGCTTTGGACGAGTGTTAACCTGAGATCAGGCGTTATTATTTTTTTTGGCATGATCTCATGATCAGGCTAGACGAGTGTCTGCGACTTGGCTCGTGGTAAAGATGTTTTCGCTATTATGTCCACCGGTTTCGGCAAAAGTTTACTCTTTCAGCTATTCCCACGCTTGGCCAAAGCTGCTCTAACCTTAGAAAACTCTATGATAATAGTCGTTTTGCCGCTGATATCTATAATACGAGACCAAGTGGAACACTGAATTTAAAAAGCTTGGACTTTCGGCCGCATGAGCTATTGGCTTCGGTGAAGAGGGAGAGGAGGACGAGAAGAAAGCGAGAGAAGGAAAGTGCGAAATTGTTTTCGGTAGTCCGGGGTTCTGGCTGATCACAAAGTGGCAATAACAAAACAGTCCAAAGACTGTTAAGCTTTAAAAAGCTATTACCATGAGAGCTGAAACTACGCACTCCAGTCAAAAGACTCACACTATAATAAGAGAAACACTAAGCTGGAGTTTACTGAGTCACAATACAATTCTCCTTTAAGTTGATCTAGCTTAAGTTTAAGCTGCACTTAAGCTTCATTATTTTATAATTCTGGATCTGTAAATCACTATCCGTGATAATTTAACATTCTGCAAAGAAAACTAACAAGCTTGGCCTAGCGTGATACAACATTGCAGAAAAACATTCACAGACTAAAGAAAATCACTTAGTCAGATCCAGAAGACACTTTGGAGAAAATTAAAACCCTTATTAAGCCGCAATAAAGAGCTTTACGTTCAAAAGAGGTCAAAGAAAATGCTCTTTCATCAGAGAGCAAATCCTGCTGACCAGAAACAAAAGCCACAGTAAATAGATATGTGTGCCATGACCTCTCAGTGTGAAACAAGCGACTAAAATCACGCAATTTTGCTCAGTGAAAATGCAGAACCTTCCAGAGCATAACCTACCCAACAGAGGAAAAAACTTACCGCCCCCTTTTATTACTATAAAACCTGCAGCACTTTGAATGATCGAGTGCAAGATTCGCAGAAACCGTTGACGAATTCGTAGCCTGCGAACAGCAGTCAGATGTATTTCTGGTCGTCGCTTCGGCGGGTGAAACTAGAAACTAGAGCCGAAAAAACCGGATGCTTTCACAGGATAACGAATTCGAAGACATAAATTTCCACACATTCGCACAAGGAGTTCGCGTCACGTGAAATGCTCACACGAGAAACTTGAGAATCATTGTAGCTTAAACTGAAGTGTTAACAGTTTTGACAGCCGAATCCAGACATGACAAAAATGGGCAGAAGAGGGTCGTTAAAGAAATGCTAACAGGCTCTCTCTCCCATTTTTCTTGCTGCCACCGCCCCCTTTCCCAAGTCGCGGGCGTCTTATTTTCGCTTTGCTCGTTTTAACACGTCCGCACTATACTATCTGCCTCAGAGCCTGGCACAGGCTACCTCATTCATTAATTGCTAATTAATAGGATTCATACGGTTTGCTGCCAATATTTTATACTGAGCATTGTGTGTCTGTATTTTTATGCTTTTGCTGGCAAAGTGAGCGGGAGACTACTACCGGAACTGAGAAGCAAAGGACTGTGAGAGAGTCTGTTATGTACCAAGAAAATAATCGATAAAATTTGCTTCAGTGCACATCTATCAAACTACTGAAAATGTAAGAACAACTATCTTTTTTTTCCAGCTGAGAACATCCTTCCATCCTTGCAAAATTTGCAATGTGATGCAGACCAGGTTCGCAACAAAACCATCCTACCATCTAATCTGAGAACGGTTGCAGCAAAGAAAGGATTCTTAGTTTCTGATAACCAATCATCTGGCAACTGTTTGTTCTATGCACTGTCAGAACAACTGAAAAGTGTTAAAGGAATCCAAATCTCACACAAAGAACTAAGAAACACTTTGGTCCAGTTTCTCAGAGAGAACGCTAATCTGGTAAGGTGATGATGTAGTCCCGTAACATGTATGGTTAACTTCATGCTGGGAAAAAAAATGGCAGTGGCCTTTAGTGTCTCCTATAAAATCCAAGACTATAAAGCCAATTTGATAATATCCTGAACCATACCATGTTATGATTTGGGAACTTTGTTGATTTGTACCTGTAAGGGGGAAGGGTGTGCTGCAAAAAAGAGACGGTCAATGCCCAGATATTAGATTCCTGAGGGCTGGCATCTCTGAAATAGGGAAAGTGTGTTAAAGCATCTATATATCTTAACTTTAACAGTGGCAGATCCAGGCCAGGGAAGGGGTCTGCCCCCGCCTGTTATTTTGGACCAAACTGAGGCATGAAGGGCCAAAACATTTCGAGACTGGGTCCCCCCTTATCTAAGGGTCTGGATGACTGCCCCACCCCCCCTTATCTCAAGGTCTGGATCCGGCACTGTAATATATCAATATATAATTAGGAAGAATTTCTCAAATTTTTTACTTGAGAATGTGTGCTCAGTTTTGCACCATACATGAAAGCTTGTCTTTTGAAAGACCACCCATCATTAAAGTGAAAAAGTATTTTCGGAGGTAATATATATACAGTTGGCTGACCTCTAAATATATCATTTTTGCAGCTTTTTCTGACCTGTTGTTGTCATCAATTAACTCAAAATTCACTCCATTTGTATTCTGATTCGTGGACCGTACATGACAGCTTTTCTTTTGAAAGACCACAATTCATTAAAGTGAAAAAGTATTTTCGGTAGGTTATATAGTGGGCTGTACCTCTAAATATATCATGTTTTGCAGCACTTTCTGACCTGTTGTTGTCATCAATTAACTCCAAATTCACTCCAGTTGTATTCTGATTCATCAGCTAAAAGCTTAAAGTTCACTTGCTTGATTGTTGTTGTTGTTTTTTTAGCATGATGGAACATCCTTATTCAACTTTGTTTCTGGTTACCCATCATGGCGTGAATATTTACAAAGCATGGCGAAAGACGGTACCTGGGGTGATCACGTGGTTCTGTTTGCTGCAGCAAATCACTTTCAAACTGCCATCCGTATTATCAGCAGCCTTGATCGTGAAATAGTTGTCCATCCAGAACACGCGGTTGCTGCCCCAACCCCCCTTGTGTTGGGACACATTCATGAGTTACACTATGTTAGCCTTCAGCCTAGAAAAGGTACAATACTAGTCTCTTCCCTGTCGCAATCAGCAAGGTTTGTTTTACTGGTGGAAAATGGGCTGCAGATATCAGCCTTGCACTACGGTGTGGTGTTTGTGTTCAAGAGAAGTGAGAGTTGGTAACTGCCTTTGCATGGATTCTTACATGGATCCTTTGTAAATTACCAGTTTTAAGGCGCTCAGTCCCTTGATCTTTCTCGAGTTATATGTACCAAATGCTGCATACTGTAAAGGGAACAAAAAGGTATTCAACGATTTTTAAAAGAGATTATATTTCCAGGAGTGGTGGACTGAAATGTCCATTACTCAGAACATGTCCGAGAATAAATTTTTTATTTTTTGTGAAATTTAGCATTTTCGGTTCAGAATATTCGCATGTCACTTTCATGACTCCATTTCTATGGATGTAGCTGGCACTTTCATGATTTGCAGTTTTTGCACTGTATTATTGCTAGGTGATCATAAGTTATCTAAGATTATGTCAGTTGTCAAAGGTTAAATCATTATTGACCTTCTAACGATACTGTTTATAGTACAAAATAAAAAGACTGTGATAGAGAAAATGCTTTTTATCGACTGACGGACGGTTCTCCCACCTCAGTGAATACAGCTGTGACGATCATGTATCCTTTAATGTTCTAATGGCCATTGTTTACTACTTTTTATTTTGCCAGATGAGTGTTTATTTCTAAGGAATAAGAGGAACAGTGAAGGGTTCATGATGGAGAACAATGAAATCAGATTAAAACGAAGAAGGACCATGGAAGATCTTAAGGCTTTTAGATCTACAGGTACAAGTTCATGATATGCACCTTAACCACAACCCTAATGTATTGTCAAATCCCCCTCCCCCCCCGCCCAAAAAAGGGCGAATTTTACCGCTTCAAATCAGCAATAGATACCCTAGCCTTTAAGAGTACCAATCTCATCTCCAGAGGCCGTCTTGCTACCGACTGCTACTCTACTTTATTGATTGCTGCAACTATATGTAACCTGTTGAATTTCATTTGAATTATCTGTAGAAGCCTGTGTTTTAGTGTTCTGTTACTGTTTTCCATTTTTATACCATGTTTAGTTGGTGTGAATGGGGCTTTATATAATTAGTTAATGATTTGGTTAGAAGATGTCGTACTTGGATCTTTGCCCATATGGGCAAAGTGAGCTTTAAAAAGGGAAAATAAAGTTTGTTGTACCACTGTACTCTTCGAACTACCTGTAGAAAACGCTTAACACCCCAACTTTGAATGGAGGGGGAGGGGTGTGGATTGTTTTGCTCTGAAGTTACCCTTTTTGAGTACAATGTCTCTACAATTTTGTCACTGACTGACATCTCTGATTATACAGGGCTAAAAAAAGTCCTGTTCATTAGTCCATGACAAGTAGATTTTCCTGCTGGACAAGCAACTTATTATTAATAGGATTCATAAGGTTTGCTGCCAATAGTTTGTACTGATCAGCATTGTGTGTCTGTATTTTTATGCTTTCGCTGGCAAAGTAAGCGACAGACTTTAACTACTGTAACTGAGAAGCAAAGGACTTTGAGAGAGTCTATCATGTCCCATGAAAATAATCAATAAAATTTGCTTCAGTGCACACCTATCAAACTACTGAAAATGTAAAAACAACTCTCTTTTTTTGCAGCTGCGAACATCCTTCCATCCTTACAAAATTTGCGATGTGATTTAGACCAGGTTCGCAACAAAACCATCCTACCATCTAATATTAGAACGGTTGCAGCGAAGAAAGGATTCTTAGTTTCTGATAACCAAGCATCTGGGAACTGTTTGTTCTATGCACTGTCAGAACAACTGAAAAGTGTTAAAGGAATCCAAATCTCACACAAAGAACTAAGAAACACTTTGGTCCAGTTCCTCAGAGAGAATGCTAATCTGGTAAGGTGACGATGTAGTCCCTTAATTGTATGCTTAACTTCATCATGCTGGGGAAAAAAAAGGCCAGAAGCCTTTAGTGTCTGTTATAAAATCCAAGACTATAAAGCCAATTTGATAATATCCTGAGCCATAACCATGTTATGATTTGGGAACTTTGTTGATTTGTACCTGTAAGGGGGAAGGGGTGTACTGCAAAAAAGAGACAATGTCCGGATATTAGATTCCCGAGGGCTGGCATCTCTGAAATAGGGAGAAGTGCGTTAGAGCATCTGTTTTAACTTGATGCAGTGGTGAATCCGGTGGAGGGCCTGGGGGGCCTGCCCCCCCTTATTTTTAGACCAAACTGAGGCCCAAAGGGCCAAAAACTTTGAGACTGCCCCCCCTTATCTGAGGGTCTGGATGACGGCCACCCCCCCCCTCCCCACGTATCTCAAGGTCTTGATCTGGCACTGTAATACATCAATATATCATTAGGAAGAATTTCTCAAATGGGGTAATCACTTGAGAATGTGTGCTCTGTTTTGGACCGTACATGACAGCTTTTCTTGTGAAAGACCACAATTCATTAAAGTGAAAAAGTATTTTCGGAGGTTATATAGTGGGCTGTACCTCTAAATATATCATGTTTTGCAGCACTTTCTGACCTGTTGTTGTCATCAATTAACTCCAAATTCACTCCATTTGTATTCTGATTCATCAGCTAAAAGCTTAAAATTCACTTGCTTGATTGTTGTTGTTGTTTTTTTAGCATGATGGAACATCCTTATTCAACTTTGTTTCTGGTTACCCATCATGGCGTGAATATTTACAAAGCATGGCGAAAGACGGTACCTGGGGTGATCACGTGGTTCTGTTTGCTGCAGCAAATCACTTTCAAACTGCCATCCGTATTATCAGCAGCCTTGATCGTGAAATAGTTGTCCATCCAGAACACGCGGTTGCTGACCCAACCCCCCTTGTGCTGGGACACATTCATGAGTTACACTATGTTAGCCTTCAGCCTAGAAAAGGTACAATACTAGTCTCTTCCATGTCGCAATCAGCAAGGTTTGTTTTACTGGTGGAAAATGGGCTGCAGGTATCAGCCTTGCACTGCGGTGTGGTGTTTGTGTTCAAGAGAAGTGAGAGTTGGTAACTGCCTTTGCATGGATTCTTGCATGGATCCTTTGTAAATTACCAGTTTTAAGGCGCTCAGTCCCTTGATCTTTCTCGAGTTATATGTACCAAATGCTGCATACTGTAAAGGGAACAAAAAGGTATTCAACGATTTTTAAAAGAGATTATATTTCCAGGAGTGGTGGACTGAAATGTCCATTACTCAGAACGCGTCCAAGAATAAATTTTTTATTTTTTGTGAAATTTAGCGTTTTCGGTTCAGAATATTCGCATGTCACTTTCATGACTCCATTTCTATGGATGTAGCTGGCACTTTCATGATTTGCAGTTTTTGTACGGCATTATTGCTAGGTGATCATAAGTTATCTAAGATTATGTCAGTTGTCAAAGGTTCATTATTGACCTTCTAACGATACTGTTTATAGTACAAAATAAAAAGACTGTGATAGAGAAAATGCTTTTTATCGACTGACGGACGGTTCTCCCACCTCAGTGAATACAACTGTGAGGATCATGTTTCCTTTGTTCTAATGGCCGTTGTTTAATACTTCTTATTTTGCCAGATGAGAGTTTATTTCTAAGAAATAAGAGGAACAGTGAAGGGTTCATGATGGAGAACAATGAAATCAGATTAAAACGAAGAAGGACCATGGAAGATCTTAAGGCTTTTAGATCTACAGGTACGAGTTCATGATATGCACCTAACCACAACCCTAATGTATTGTCAAATCCCCCTCCCCCCCCCTTCCCCTCCCAAAAAAAAGGGCGAATTGTACCGCTTCAAATTAGATACCCTTTAAGAGTACCAATCTCGTCTCCAGAGGCCGTGTTGGTACCGAGGCAGGTAGACCACAAATTTAAAGATTCGCGTGACAGTTGATTTTGGCGCTAGACGTTAACCATTTAGGTGACTTGGCTTTCAGTGTTTGTCAAGACAACAAGATGAACTCTTGTGTTCACATTCCTTTCTCATTGCTGACGTCGTTGTGAAGCACTAGTATGCTGTAACTGAAAGAACTTTCATCGATTCGCACTTTCCGCAAACAAAAGTTTGACTTGGGCTATGAAATGTTGTGACCTCATTCCACATTCAAATCTAGGCGATTTAGGGCTTGTTTACATGGAGGTGGGGGACCCCAGGTAGGTGAGTTAACCCGCGTAGCCGGGGTCAAATTTTACCATGTAAACGTTCAAGGTGGGGTAACCCGCCTAGCCGGGGTCCAATTCGTGATACATCAAATTCGCGCAAAATTCACTTCGGCGGTGGCTTTGCATGATTATTGAAGGTAGCAATAAAAAGCCACAGCACTGAAGGTTGCAGCAAGAGCAGCAAGTGAGTGTAGAAGAGTATTAATCGCCAAAACACGTAGACTGCAAAACAGTCGGTTTTTTTCTCAAAATCAGTAAAAGAAATCGGTAAAGCGTGGCGTAAGAGTCTTACGCGCGCGAAGCGCGCGAGCCTCACACGCCCGTAGGGCGTGTGAGGCGAGAGAAAAAAAACCGTCTCTCCCCAGTCTCGCTCTCTGTTTTCAGCCTCATTCCAGACCTTTTGTTTGACTGCTCGCGCGTACTTGAATACGCAAAATACGGACTGTTTTGCAGTCTAAAACACGTGGTTTTCCAGCATATTTCTTGTTTACGTGCTTAGCGACCATTCAATAATCTTGAGGAAGTGCATCCCGGGATGACGTGGTCGTAAGATTGTATGTAAAGGAGGGTTAAATTTTTACCCCACCTAAGCGAGTTACCTCACCTACCTGGGGTCCCCCACCTCCATGTAAACAGGCCCTTAAGATACAACTGACCATACGGTACTGCCGGGTCTATTTCTCGCTAATTCCAGTGCTGCAGTGAAATATTTCCATGAATTTTTTAAATTGTTTGATTGGACTCAAAATAAAATCACAAAGTACTGCTCAAAGTGTGTCATATTTCCTGAATCATGCGCCTTCCCTAATATACAAACTAACAGGTTAAATACTTGATAACGTTTAATGCAGCGTGTATGAATATTCATCTTTTCAGATTTTTCATACCCAAGTGACATTTTAGAGAAAATCCGTCAGCTGTATAGAACACGTGAACAACGCCTTCTGCCTGTACCGTGGTGTGAGGATTTCAGCTTTCATTTGAATGATATGTTTACTAGACTAAAAATCGTTGGTAAAGAAAAGTCCCGAGGGGTACTTACTGACAAGATAACCAATATGACGGCTATCTTTAAGGCGCACGCAGAATGTCAAAGTCCGCGAACAGTCTTGATCGAGGGAGATCCTGGCATGGGAAAAACCACATACTGTCAAAAGCTGGCGTATGATTGGGCTACTAAGCACGACGGGTGGGACCCGTCTTTTCCAGAGATTGAAGTGTTACTGCTTCTCAAATGTAATGAAATTCAATCCAACATCTGGGAAGCTGTGGATGATCAAATTTTACCCGAGGAAATGGAAGATCAAGCTAAGGAATGTTTCTTTAAATTCATTCGCGAAAATCAGTCGAAAGTTCTTTTAGTTCTCGATGGACTGGATGAAGTGGATCCTAGTAACCTCAAAGTACTCTCCAACCTTATTCAAGGTAAAGAACTTTCAGGTTGCTACATTGTTGTCACGTCTCGTCATGAGGCTGGAAGTAAAGTAAGGAGGTACTGTGACACTCTGTGGGAAATTGAAGGATTTACCAAGAAAGATGCAGAAAGCTTTATTCTTAAATACTTTAAAAACATCAACAAAGAGCACTTAGCCTGGAAACTTCTAAAAAGCATATGGGATGGGCCCTTTCTATTTGAGTCACAACAGGATAGAGACCTTAGTGAATTGACAAAAAATCCCTTAAACACTGCCTTACTGTGTGTTATATGTGAGGATTTTGAGGGCGTATTTCCAACGAACAGGACTGAATTGTACACGGAAATTGTTCTTTGTGTTTTAAGAAGATATGAACAAAAGCAAGGTTTAGCGAGCAAGAATGAAGACCTGATGACCGTTTACAAAAAAGAATTAATAGATCTTGGAAGAATGGCATTAGAATCTCTTCGAAACGGAGAGTTGTATTTTGAAGAAAATAAATCTAACGGTGGCCTTATTGTCTTATCCAAGTTCGGATTCCTTTCACTTCAGGCTGGTGGCAGTAAGAGAAAAGTTGTTGTGCGTTATGCATTTCTTCATAAGAGCTTTCAAGAGTTCTTTTCTGGTTTCTATCTCGCTTACAAACTCATTGAGGGAGAAATTGAGTGCGAAGCAGTGGTGACTGACCAAAGATATGAGAACGAACTATATCAGGTCTTTTTATTTACGATCGGAATTTTAGTTTCAACAAGTGAGAAAACCGCAAAGTCTCTCGTAACATATATGGCTAGAAATATCACAAGTCTTCAGTCTGCGAGAGAGATTTCAAAGCGTCTTGCATTTTCTTTAGGTTGTTTATCAAAGCACGAAAGTTTAGTTTGCACCTTAGGGAAGCACCTTCACATTTCTTATTTGAAGTTGGATACAGCAATTTGGAGATATGAAGTTGTGTCTCTTTTCAAGGCCCTTTCAGTCAACTCCTCCTTAACTAATTTGGATTTGAGTAAGAACAGTATTGGTGACTCTGGAGCTGCGTCTCTTTCCCAGGCTGTTGCAGTCAACTCCTCCTTAACTAATTTGGATTTGATGGACAACTTTATCGGTCCCTCTGGAGCTGCGTCTCTTTCCCAGGCTCTTGCAGTCAACTCCTCTTTAACTAATTTGGTCTTGTTGGGGAACAGTATCGGTGATTCTGGAGTTGCGTCTCTTTCCCAGGCTCTTGCGGTCAACTCCACGTTAACTAATTTTGATTTGGGTTGGAACAGTATTGGTGATTCTGGAGCTGCGTCTCTTTCTCAGGCTCTTGCAGTCAACTCCTCATTAACTAATTTGAATTTGAGTAGGAATAGAATTGATGGTTCTGGAGCTGCGTCTCTTTCCCAGGCTCTTGCGGTCAACTCCTCCTTAACTAATTTGGATTTGAATGGGAACAGCATTGGTGATTCTGGAGCTGCGACTCTTTCCCAGGCTCTTGCAGTCAACTCCTGCTTAACTAATTTGAATTTGAGTTTGAACAGTATTGGTGCTTCTGGTGCTGCGTCTCTTTCCCAGGCTCTTGCAGTCAACTCCTCATTAACTAACTTGGATTTGAGTGGGAACAGTATTGGTGATTCTGGAGCTGCGTCTCTTTCCCAGGCTCTTGTAGTAAACTCCTCATTAACTAATTTGGATTTGAGTGGGAACAGTATTGGTGATTCTGGAGCTGCGTCTCTTTCCCAGGCTCTTGTAGTAAACTCCTCATTAACTAATTTGTATTTGAGTGAGAACAGTATTGGTGATTCTGGAGCTGCGTCACTTTCCCTGGGTCTTGGAGTCAACTCCTCCTTAACTAATTTGTATTTGAGTGAGAACAGAATTGGTGCTTCTGGAGCTGCGTCACTTTCCCAGGCTCTTGGAGTCAACTCCTCCTTAACTAATTTGGATTTGAGTGAGAACAGTATCGGTGAATTTGGAGCTGCGTCACTTTCCCAGGCTCTTGCAGTCAACTCCTCCTTAACTAATTTGGACTTGAGTGGGAACGGTATTGGTGATTCTGGAGCTGCATCTCTTTCCCAGGCTCTTGCAGTCAACTTCTCCTTAACTACTTTGGATTTGAGGGGGGGCAGTATTGGTAATTCTGGAGCTGCGTTTCTTTCTCAGGCACTTGCAGTCAACTCCTCCTTAACGAATCTGAATTTGCATTTGAACTTTATTGGTTCTTCTGGAGCTGCGTCTCTTTCCCAGGCTCTTGCAGTCAACTCCTCCTTAACTAATTTGAATTTGCGTTCGAACAGTATTGGTCCTTCTGGAGCTGCGTCTCTTTCCCAGGCTCTTATAGTCAACTCCTCCTTAACTAATTTGGATTTGAGAGGGAACAGTATTGGTGATTCTGGTGCTGCGTCTCTTTCTTAGACAGTTGCAGTCAAGTCATCCTTAACTAATTTGGATTTGAGTAGGAACAGTATCTGATGATTGTGGAGCTGCGTCTCTTTTCCAGGCACTTGCAGTCAACCCCTCCTTAACTAATTTGAATTTGAAATGGAACAGTATTGGCTAATCTGGAACCACTGCACTATTCTATGTGAGCACGGTACAAAATACAACGGTGAACAAAGACGATCTTGTTCTTGTTGATGATGTGGAGAAAGAGAAGGAGTATGAGGAAGAGGGAGACAAGGACAAGGAGAAGCATATAAATAAGTAATTTTAACGGACAACTGTTATAGAATAAAATGATAATCCTCACATTTAGAAACATTGTTGAGTGTAAAGGAAAGTCAAACGGAGCATTTCGGGGACCTTTTTGTGAATCTCTGATAGAACATTTGTAATTCGTATTCTTAATTCTCCTTTATAAAAATTATTACATTTACTATACTACTTTACCATAATTTCTTAATTCCGATCGGCTAACGAAAAATTGTTTTATTTTCGCAATCTGTGAAAGGAAAAACAAGGCATAATTACTTGATTATGATTGGTCGGTCATAAGAATTTCTTGTATTTGATTGACTATGTGTGTATTTACGTCGTAAGTTTGCTTGCTGGAATTTTGAGCAAAATTAACTAATCTCGCAGATACCTATTGTTCTCGGGACATTTACTTCCGGTTCACTAAAGTTCGTAGATCTGTCATATTACGCGCAGTCATGCTTAGACGCTATGAGAGCGCTTCAGCCATTGGTTGCCAAGAATGCACGACGATGATCATTGATATGGTGTAGGTGGAAAACTAAACAATGAATGTAGCACACTATTGTTTTCTCCTTTTAACTCCCTTTAGCGGGAGAAAAATTCACGAAGAAAAAAAAAACGTTTTCCCGGTGTACAACTTAACTCGCTCCCCACTTACCGCCGCGCTCTACTTTCTGAACGCCTGGAACAGGCTAAAGGACTCTTTTGCTTCTTAAAATCGCGCATATGTGCATATTTCACTGTGGACGTTAATAAAATCACTTTGCTTTACTTTGCGGGAATTTTGTTTCCCTTTAAAAATTTTAAGAATTTTTGTTTTCCTTTAAAAAATGGGTGGGGACGAGGTTGTTATAAAGAGTCAAATAAAGGGAGTAAAGAAAGGCAGGGACCAACTCTAAGTGTCCGTTTTACAGAGGTGTACGTCTTATAGAGGTGTCCGTTAAGAGAGAGTCGACTGTACTAGCATTGGGTACGTGTGACACAACTCCTTTAACCCATTCGCTCCTGGAGATTTTGCCGAAAAACGCGTTTTGAAACTAGTCGAGTGGTTTTCTGGTCACTGTCGTGCTATAAAGAGCTAAAACTTACCACAAACTGGTTTACAGGTCGAACACTTCGCGGCCTTCTGAACCAGATGCAAAATATCAGCTTGCGAAGTTCGGGCATGCGCAGAAAGCAAAATTGGGTTTAAAAGTGACAAAGCAGTCTTGACTTTTACTTTTCGCTTTCTCTCCTCCCTTCTTTTTTCGCTTTTCTTGCCTCATTTTTTTTTTCTCTGGCTGGGCATTTAGTAGGCTTGATTTTGGTGGGAAGAGTTTTTAGGAAAGCTTTTAGGATCTTAGGATTAGGTGAAAGGAAAGGTAGGTGGGTAATGGAACAACATTTTCATGGAGATTTTCAGGTCAATGTCACGTGGTTTTTTGCTTGTTTCTCCGGTGTCCTTGACTGAATTGTGCTCATTCTGGTATGGTTTGAAAGATCTCTTCACTCTGCACAAGGTAGCGAAGAAAGTTGTCCTTGACCGTTAAAACTGATGACGTCACAATGGGTAGAAAGGACCTGGATCCGCACGGGCGGTTACGGGCGGTTCAGGGGTTAAGTTCAGGGGCGAATGGGTTAAAAAATTCTCTCGTTTGACCGCGGTGTATGTCGGGGCACCGGCGTGCGTGACCAAACGAGATCTGACCAAACAGAGATCGCGTGATACCGCCCGCAGTACAGTATGGGTAATACTTTTCCAAATATGTCGGGTTCCTCTCAAAAAACGGGAAGTACTTCATGTCAAGCCATCATATAGTTGTCCATAGACTTCATCTAACTTATCTTCTTTGGTAGCTTTGCTTGCTAGATACGTTTCTTCTCTAATTTAGTTTAGGTGTATATCTTACTTATGATTCTCTACTAACTTGAGATGCTTTGCCTGCTTGAGGTGCTTTACTTACTTGAGATGCTTTGCCTGCTTGAGGTGCTTTGCTTACTTGAGATGCTTGGCTTACTTGAGGTGCTTTGCTTGCTTGAGGTGCTTTGCTTACTTGAGATGCTTGGCTTACTTCAGGTGCTTTGCCTGCTTGAGGTGCTTTGCCTGCTTGAGGTGCTTTGCCTGCTTGAGGTGCTTTGCCCGCTTGAGGTGCTTTGCCCGCCTGAGGTGCTTTGCCTGCTTGAGGTGCTTTGCCTGCTTGAGGTGCTTTGCCTGCTTGAGGTGCTTTGCCTGCTTGAGGTGCTTTGCTTGCTTGAGGTGCTTTACTTGCTTGAGGTGCTTTGCTTGCTTGAGGTGCTTTGCCTGCTTGAGGTGCTTTGCCTGCTTGAGGTGCTTTGCTTGCTTGAGATGCTTTGCTTGCTTGAGGTGCTTTGCTTACTTGAGGTGCTTTGCTTACTTGAGGTGCTTTGCCTGCTTGAGGTGCTTTACTTGCTTGAGGTGCTTTGCTTGCTTGAGGTGCTTTGCTTACTTGAGATACTTTACTTGCTTTAGATACTTTGCTTACTTGAGGTGCTTTGCCTGCTTGAGGTGCTTTGCTTACTTAAGGTGCTTAGCTTACTTGAGATGCTTTGCTTACTTAAGGTGCTTTAGCTTACTTGAGATGCTTTGCTTACTTAAGGTGCTTTAGCTTGCTTGAGGTGCTTTGCTTACTTGAGATGCTTTGCTTGCTTGAGGTGCTTTGCTTGCTTGAGGTGCTTTGCTTACTTGAGGTGCTTTACTTGCTTGAGGTGCTTTGCCTGCTTGAGGTGCTTTGCTTACTTGAGATGCTTTGCTTGCTTGAGGTGCTTTGCTTGCTTGAGGTGCTTTGCTTACTTGAGGTGTTTTACTTGCTTGAGGTGCTTTGCTTGCTTGAGGTGCTTTGCTTACTTGAGGTGCTTTACTTGCTTGAGGTGCTTTGCTTGCTTGAGGTGCTTTACTTGCTTGAGATACTTTGCTTACTTGAGGTGCTTTGCCTGCTTGAGGTGCTTTGCTTACTTGAGATGCTTTGCTTACTTGAGGTGCTTTACTTGCTTGAGGTGCTTTGCTTACTTGAGGTGCTTTACTTGCTTGAGGTGCTTTGCTTGCTTGAGGTGCTTTGCTTACTTGAGGTGCTTTGCTTGCTTGAGGTGCTTTGCTTGCTTGAGGTGCTTTACTTGCTTGAGATACTTTGCTTACTTGAGGTGCTTTGCCTGCTTGAGGTGCTTTGCTTACTTGAGATGCTTTGCTTGCTTGAGGTGCTTTACTTGCTTGAGGTGCTTTGCTTACTTGAGGTGCTTTACTTGCTTGAGGTGCTTTGCCTGCTTGAGGTGCTTTGCTTACTTGAGATGCTTTGCTTGCTTGAGGTGCTTTGCTTGCTTGAGGTGCTTTGCTTACTTGAGGTGTTTTACTTGCTTGAGGTGCTTTGCTTGCTTGAGGTGCTTTGCTTACTTGAGGTGCTTTACTTGCTTGAGGTGCTTTGCTTGCTTGAGGTGCTTTGCTTGCTTGAGATGCTTTGCTTACTTGAGGTGCTTTGCCTGCTTGAGGTGCTTTGCTTACTTGAGGTGCTTTGCTTACTTGAGATGCTTTGCTTGCTTGAGATACTTTGCTTACTTGAGGTGCTTTTCCTGCTTGAGGTGCTTTGCTTACTTGAGATGCTTTACTTGATTGAGGTGCTTTGCTTACTTGAGATGCTTTGCCTGCTTAAGGTGCTTTGCTTGCTTGAGGTGCTTTGCTTGCTTGAGGTGCTTTGCCTGCTTGAGCTGCTTTGCTTGCTTGAGGTGCTTTGCCTGCTTGAGGTGCTTTGCTTACTTGAGATGCTTTGCTTGCTTGAGGTGCTTTGCCTGCTTGAGGTGCTTTGCTTGCTTGAGGTGCCTTACTTGCTTGAGGTGCTTTACTTGGTTGAGGTGCTTTGCTTACTTGAGGTGCTTTGCTTGCTTGAGGTGCTTTACTTGCTTGAGGTGCTTTGCTTACTTGAGGTGCTTTGCTTGCTTGAGATGCTTTGCCTACTTGAGGTACTTTGCCTGCTTGAGATGCTTTGCTTACTTGAGATGCTTTCAAGCTTACTTGTGTGCTTTGCTTACTTGGGATGCTTTCTTTGCTTTGTTTTTCTGTGACCAAAAATTATTATTCTTATTATTCGCTATCTAATATACATTGAACTGAAAGAAGTCTTTGATTGATCTTTTTATAGGAAACACCCAAGGAAGCTTGAGCTTGGCACACTATTGAAAGATCATGATGGAAAGATCATGCATCATACCTAGGGCATAATGCGGATTTACAATTTTCTTTCTACTTCTTTTCTTTTGAATAGTTACATTCCGCATTGCCACTCTAAAAGATTGTAAAGTAAAGTACTTTATTTGAAAAACAAAAGTACTTTTGAAGAGTAAAAGTTTGAGAAAAAAAAACAGTTTTTCCGCTTGAAATGCAGTCTTAGAACACCTAATCTCCCCCCACCCCTCTCGGACTCTTTGGATCGCATCTCCCCGTAAAAATCCTGACTACGGGCCTGATAGCCTCTTCTTTAAACACTGTTATAAAAATGTTATTTTTGATAAGGGTGTGCGAGCTAAAGCTCCGGGTGGATGAAGGAACAGAAAAATTTGCAGTCTGAAAGTGGCACTCACAAGATGTTGAACTCATGTGGAAGGAAAAGATATCAGTCAGATTTGAGATGAAACGCTCGTTCTTATTAAATGATTAAATAATGTCCGTATTCCCCTGTGGTCATTCCGAGGTAGCAATTGGATATGTACCAAACGCGCGTGAAACAAGAGTTTTTGATTAACTATGATTTATTTTGAATTAAATGTTTAATAACTTGTGATCAAAATATTTGTGTACAGTTAGCAAGACTGTCCATCCTATGACTGTATTTTTATTATCCTATGACTGTATTATTAAATAGTTAAATAATTAACTTTGCATAAAGGTAGACCTTTAAAGAATCATTATGGGCTCCTTACAGGCTCCCTTGGCATTCATCTTTTACTGAAAAGATTTCATTCGTAATCAATGTACTGAATGTACTTTTGGCGAGAATAATAAACTAAAACATAACATGAAATCCGAATTAAATGGGATCATAGCGCTAGAAAGCCGCTATATATACAAAAAACGGCTAGGCTTATTGAAACGAACCCCTGAAACTAGTGGGCCTGTTTAGAAGTTAATTTCTATCTATGAGTCAACAAAGTCCTCGCTAACATTAACTAACTACTAACATAACTAAGGGCTCTTTTCACCGCTGTCAGAACTGACCGGCCAGACCGTTCTTGTGGTATGGAGAATTTCACTTAAAATCAGAACTATTCAGCCAGATCAGTCAAATCTTAAATAGTATACACTTAACTGACAGTATTTCTTCTGCAAAAACCCTTTGAAAAAGCCGATTTCATTTGCCAATTGACTTGTCCGGCAATGGTACGGCCGTCGACCAGTTTTGACACTGAATGGAAAGCGCCTTAAGTAACTAAAATCTTCCCCTATTAACTTTACTTATACGTCCAAATTCTTTTCTTCATTTTTTGTGCAAGCTTCAAATGCAAGAGTGGGGTCTAATTCAAAACAATTTATTTTTCTCTTCGGGCTTTGCATCAACGCGTATAGGTTTTGTGGGGAATGGCAGTCATTTTAAAGACTGAAATCCCTTGTTTTACCGTGGCCAATAGTCACTTGACTTCATAGGCAAGCACAAAAGTCCCCGCCTTTCGATGTTTCTGTTTCAAAAAGCCGGATTTTGCTTCGAATGTGTAATTTTAAATTCAACATCGTATTGAAATAGCGTCGAATGTATAAAAAAACCCAATTTTGCAAGTTTTGAAAAACAAATTTTTTGAATTATCTTTTGATCGTTAACCGTGTCTACTTCCATTTCAAGTATGTTACGACACGGTCAGTTCTTTAATCTCTTTAATTTGTTCTTTGACCGCCCGCCAAGAAATGTAGTTTTAAATTTGTTTTAAATGGAAATAATGTCCTTTCAGTTTTCAGGACCTTTTAAATTACGAAGTAGATAAAATGGAATAGAAAGATCACCTAACTTGATTTCAGAAACTTCACTTCAATGGCAGTCGGTCATTCATGATAGGTTCTTTATAGCAGGAGCCTTACAAATACCTTTTTTCGCGTAAGAAAACTGCGATAAAAAGTCATGTGACCCAGTCATTTCTCTCCTTTTCAGTAACGGACGACAAGTTTTTGGTTGTACGAAGGAAATCTTATTAACAGTGTCACTATTCATGTGTATATTAAGGGAAAACTGCTCTAAAAATCATTACTTATAGCTTTCTAAATAATAATCTTTTTTTAAAGCATTTTTGAGCACGAAGAACGCACCTACACCCTGTAATGGAAGTTCTATAAATGTTAAAGTATGTATTTATATTTCCTTGCCCTATCCCATTTTTGGCTATATTTTAAGCATAAAGGGATTTTTTGGTTATTCAAAACTAATGTTTCTATTTTTTGTGTTATAATTATGTCATGTAAATAAATGCTTTCTGGAAATTTTGATAGCTTGGAAATCCAGCATGGGTTTTTAATGGGGTTAAATTTTGGTCCACGGATTTTTGGGGGTTTTGTTTGAAGCCCTAGGGATTTTTTTAACCATTAAATCATTCCTGTCACTTTTAATCTGGAGTACCCTCTCCCCCACTGGGCTTTAAGCCTAGAGATCAAACTTTTGTGCATCTTATGTTTACGGCTATCATATATGTTCACGCATGAATTCGCCTGTTGATCAAAGTAACCTGATTTTTTTAATGGTTCATTAATTAATTTTTAAATTTTTAAATTTCCCTTTATGATTATTGAAAAGTTGGTACAGCACATACCCCCTAAGTTTTCTATTGTTTTTTTAAGCAGCAAGTTTATCCAGCTCAAGCCGTGCCAGTGATCACTAGTAAGTATTTAACCTTCTTTTGCCTGTGATTAAGTAGTTAACATTAAAAAATATTCTCAGCAAAAAGGATTCAGATAGTACATTATTAGCACATATGCCTGGTTTTCACTGGGGACGCAAGCACAAGTGTATAAGCTCTAAAGTCTTGTGTCAAAGGAAACCAAAGGCTTTCATTTGCATCTAGAAGTCATAGGTGTATCCAACGTATCTTGTATTATTAGTCTCAGAAAACATTGCAGTTTCTGACCAAATGCCAGGGGAAGCCGATCCCCAGCGGGTGGAAGAAACCAACATTAAGCTTCAAGTTAATGCTAACTCACAAGGAAATACTACCCAATGTGAGCCCTTAAATGATAATAATAATAATAATAATAATAATAATCCATCCTTTTCTACAAGATTCAAAGGCGCTGTTTACAAAAAATTAGATAGAACTAAAAAGTAAAAATAATCCCAAGAAATTGACATTAAAACTAGACGTTAACTACAAAGTAGATAAATGTACACAATAGATAAAAAATCAGATAACAAACAAAAACGTCAGGATTTATAAGCTCGCATAAAAAGAAATGTTTTAAGTTTGCGTTTAAAATCATCAATTGAGTTTGCAGATTTAATATCCTCAGGTAAGTTATTCCAAAGTTCCGGAGCAGCAACAGAAAAAGCTCGTTTACCATACGAATTGAGATTAAAATAGGGTTTAACTAATACATTTCTATTAGAGGATCTAAGATTGCAGCTGGGTGTATACAATTGAAGGAGTTCCTGTATATAGATTGGAGCTCGATCATGTAGTACTTTGTTAGTAATTAACATAATTTTAAATTCAATACGGAAATAAAGGAGACAGGGAGCCAGTGAAGATCCCTCATGACTGGAGTAATATGGCAAAATCTTGGACACTGGTTGACAAGGCGAGCAGTAGAATTTTGAACATGTTGAAGCTTCCGAATAAGATAGGATGGTAGGCCGTACAATAAAGAATTACAGTAATCAAGTTTAGAAATTACGAAGGCATGAATAATGATCTTTGCAGCATCATAAGTAAGATATTTGCGTATGAAACCAATGTTACGAAGATGGAAAAAGGACGATTGACAGACTGCATTGACATGAAGAGCCATACAAAGGGACTGATCAAAGATAACTCCAATGTTGCGTGCACTGGGGGAGCAGGATACAGTCTCATTACATATATCAACAGAAGATAGTGGTGGCCGAGGTCGATAGGAAGAGGATATTACGAGAACTTCGGACTTGTCTTTATTTAATTTCAGCTTGTTGGAAAGCATCCATGCGTCCATGTCCCGAACACAGTTTACCAATTTGGCGTTACTCAGATTCATATCAGAAACAGACGACGTCCTGAACGTAATATATAGCTGAGTGTCATCAGCATAAAAGTGATAGAACATTTGATGACGTCGAGCAATCTCGCCTAGAGGGGATGTGTACATTGAATATAACAACGGGCCAAGAACGGATCCCTGCGGTACACCAAACTCAAGAAAATAAGAAGCAGAGCACGCACCATTAACCTGTACAAACTGTGTACGATCAGAAAGATATGATCGAAACCATTCCAATACAGTTCCAGTAATTCCAAAGCGATTGGACGGTCGCGAAAGGAGGATACCATGATCAACAGTATCAAATGCAGCCGAAAGATCGAGAAGTACTAGGATAACTGGATTATGTTGATCCATTGCCATGGCTATGTCATTGTGGACTCTAATAAGAGCCGTCTCTGTACTATGGTTTCTCTTATAGGCCGACTGATATGTTTCACCAAGGTCATTAATATCTAAGTATTGAATCAGCTGTTTAGCAATACATTTTTCAATAGTTTTGGATGTGAAACGAAGATTAGAAATAGGCCTATAGTTCTTGAAGTCGATCGAATCCAGAGAGGGCTTTTTGAGCAATGGCTTAAGTATAGCTTGTTTAAGTATTCCAGGTATCCGACCAGTTTCCAAGGAAAGGTTGATAATCTTGTGTATTACTGGGAGAATAGAAGGAAACAGACATTTAAGTACATGACCAGGAACAGGACTTAGGGGTAGTTGAGCCGATGATACTCAAGAGTTCATCCGGTGGAACAGTCGAAAACATGTTTAGTTGACAGCGTGTGGTACCGTTATCTACAGC